GATTTTTTCTTGACTCTTGATTCTTTCTATGATAGTATTGCCTTTTACAGAATAGACGGAGTGCTACAATAAAAGCCACAAATAAGAATAAATAAAAAATAATAAAACTAGCAAATAAGTAAAAATAACAATAAAATGCTATTGAATCACAATGGGAAGACAGATTAATTCTGATTGGGGAGAGGAAAACATATTGGAGGAGGTAACAGTTGAACTAACTCTGAGGAATTTTAACCTGCAGAAAATTGGGGTGGGTTAGAACATAAGCACGGTGCTTGGCACATATGAAAGACTCACTCGATGTTTTGTGAATAAACGATTTCAGTAAATAGTGTCTCCAATCAGCTCTGTGTCTGGGGGAAGACAAATCTGGCCAACAGGATGAAGAAGGGATTAGAGAGCAGAGGGTCTTTAGAAAGGGAAGCCAGTTAGTGTGTTCTAGTAATAATCCTGACTAGAGGGAACGAAAGGCTGATTTAGCACAGTGGCTGTGGTCATGGAAAGGAGGACACTGCTGGGAGAAACACCACATATGCAGAGCTGATTGGACTCACAGGGTGAGAGAGAGGGAGGAGTTGAAGATGACTGTGAGGTCTCAAGTCTGGGTGACTGAGGGGGTGATGATACCATTAACTGAGATAGGCAACACAGGAAGAGAAGCAGATTTAGGGGGAGATGAAGAGTTTGAAGCTAGTATTGTTTTCCTCCATTTCCAGAGTCTACTTCTAAGTCAGACTTCCTCACCAGTCTCAACAGGGACCCAATCTCAACAGGGCAGCAGCTAAGTATGGATAGTCTGGTTTGGATTAGGTCAGAGGAAAGACAGCTATATATGTGCCCACAGGAGCCAAGATTGTATTTTCCTTCCAGCCGAGACAGTAGACCTTTGACAGAGGTTTCAGGGTGACTGAGCCAAGAAAGGAGCATCACATTGGATGGGGGGAGGCTCAGACCCCCCCCCCTCTAAAGGATGAAACGATTGAGTGAGAGGTGGTTGAGAATGGTGGTGGGAGTGGTGAACAGATCCTTCTCAGGATCTAGGTGGTCTGGGGATTCTTGAATCTGTGACAATATTGTATACCCAGCCTTAGGCTCTACTTGACACCACTTTACAGTGGTGGGTTTACCCCTGCAGATTAGATTAACACCTAATCTCCCAGAGGATTTAACCAGTGTCATAGCACACATTTGCCACACCCTCTGTAAAGCCCTGGTTTCTAAGGTTCTTTCCACCGGAAGCTATGACAGAAGGAAATGTGTGGGTGGGGAGGGGTAGTGGGTGAGGGGCCCATGGTCCTGACACAGTCTACACCCAGGGAACGAAGAGCAAGCGCCATGTTGAAGCCACCATTGCCACTCAGATCCCTCTTATTCCTGCAGCTGCCTCTGCTGGGGGTGGGGCTGACCCCGAAGGTCCCCACGCCCAGTGGGAATGAAGACATCACAACTGGTGGGAAACCTGGGACTGGAGGGGGTTGGTGAGAAGGGAGGTTGTGGGAAGGGGCCTTACAGAAATCTGAAACCTGGGCGTTACAAGGATGCGGGCAGAATTTAAGAATACTGTGGGGAGAGCGAGGGGAAAGGTTCCCTGCCTCACGCTGCTTCTTCTTCTGACCATGATTTCTTCTTTTCCCCTCCCCCACTTCATTTTCTTCCCAATTTAGATTTCTTCCTGACTTCTACACCCCCTAGGGCCCCCAGTGTTTCCACCCTGCCCCTCCCAAAGGTTCAGTGTTTTGTGTTCAATGTTGAGTACATGAATTGCACTTGGAACAGCAGCTCTGAGCCCCAGCCCACCAACCTGACTCTGCACTATTGGTATGAGAAGGGAAGAGGGGATAGCATGGGGGAGGAAGAGGAGGTGGGCTGGATGTGAGAAACTGCCTGGGAACCAAGAAAGAGGGTAGCAAACATTTCAGGTTCCCCACTCTTTTCTCGTGGGGTAAGTTCTTAAGTCAATTCAGAGGAGATGAGGCTGGCCTGTGGATATCTGTAATACCCAAGTTTACCCCCACCCCCGCCCTGGTTTCTCTTCCTTCCTACCCTTCTCTAGGTACAAAAACTCTGACGATGGTAAAGTCCAAGAGTGTGGCCACTATCTATTCTCTGAAGAGGTCACTTCTGGCTGTTGGTTGGGAAAAGAGGAGATCCATCTCTACGAAACATTTGTTGTCCAGCTCCAGGACCCAAGGGAACCCAGGAGGCAAGCCACACAGATGCTAAAACTGCAGGATCTGGGTAATTTGGAAAGAGGATCAAGAGTCCAGGATATTGTGGGGCATTGGGGTATATGGAGTGGTGTTCTTTCACCATGAGAGTACTCGGCCAGAAAGGAGGAGGTGAGGGGTGGGGACGGAGAAGTGGGGGAGGGATCAGGGGCACTACTTTCAGGATCCTGACTTGTCCAGACCAGGGGAATGACCACACATGCACACATATCTCCAGTGATCCCCTGGGCTCCAGAGAATCTAACACTTCACAACCTGAGTGAATCCCAGTTAGAACTGAGATGGAGCAGCAGATACTCGGACCATTGTTTGGAGCACCTGGTGCAGTACCGGAGTGACCGGGACCGCAGCTGGACTGTGAGTGACTGGGGATATGAATGTAGCAGCTAAGGCCAAGCAAGTGGGGATAAAGAATCCACTCAGCCAAATATGAGGGCCTGATCCCAAGCTCCCGTTCTCTGCCTCCCAGCTCCTCTGCCCACCCTCCACCCTCCTTTCCCTGTCATCAACAGTGAGTTTTCATTAAAGTTTCCCTACCCATACTCTTCCTAATACCAGATAGGCAAGTAAACAAAAGAAAGCTTTTAAGGGGCTCTGGAGAGGAGGCATTAGATTCTAGTCAGTGAAGGAAGCAGTGTGGCTTGAGTAGTCGAGAGGAGGGAGGAACTGGGAAGGACCAGAAGATGACATAGGAGTGGGCAGCAGTTTCAATTCTCCCTTGTTGTGTAGACACCCATCTTTCCCGCACCCTCTTTCTCCCCAAGGAACAATCAGTGGGCCACAGACCTAGCTTCTCTCTGCCTAGCGTGGATGCACAGAAACTCTACACGTTCCGTGTTCGGAGCCGCTATAACCCACTCTGTGGAAGTGCTCAGCATTGGAGTGAATGGAGCCACCCGGTCCACTGGGGCAGCAGTACTTCAAAGGGTAAAATGGGCCTGATGCATCACCCTGACCCATGAGGCCAGCACCCCAACCTTTCTAGCACCACTAAGTCTTCTGCTCTACCTCCCTACCTCAAACTTGGTGGCCCATCTTCCCTCACTGTTCAACTCCAACTCCCAGGAAGCAGGCTTTGTCTGTGGAGGGTTGGGTCGGTGTGTTGTTAGAGTAGGGGGGTGGATTGAGAAGGAGGCTGAGGAGTGCTCAGAGGGGAGATGGAATGTATAAGATTTCCCCACGGCACTCCCAGAAAGCCTGCACAGTGAAGATGGCTTTGGAACCAGACAAATCAAGGGTTTAAACCTGCCCCTGCTGCTTACTACCTCTTTGACCTTGGGCACATCACTAACCTCCTTGATTCTGTTTCCTCATCTGTAAAATGGAGATATGACTTGTTCCCCGCTCTCAGGAGCTGTGAGGATTAAGTATACGGAAAGTGTTTAGCACAGTGCCTGGCACCAAGATGGGGCTCTACAAATGTTGGCACGTAGTAGGGACACCACAAATGTTAGGTCTCTTTTCTATAGAGAGTCCTTCATTGTTTGCGTTGGAAGCTGTGCTTATCCCCGTCGGGTCCATGGGATTGATTATTGGCCTCATCTGTGTGTACTGCTTGCTTGAGCGGTGAGATTTTGGGAATCCCAGAAAAATGAGGTGGGGGTGGCTGGGAATAGTAGAGGAGAGTTGTTATAGGGTCTCCAGGAGTAGAGGGCGGGACAGTATCCAAGTGGGCATGGTGGTGGGAGCAAACTGTAGGCACAGAGAACACAGAATCACTTCATCCCATATGGGAGCACTGGGAGAAGGGTAATAAAAGAGCGTAACTGATGTGCTCCTGCTCCCTCTTTCTCCCCCCTCAGGATGATGCCCCGAATTCCTACCCTCAAGAACCTAGAGGATCTGGTTACTGAATACCATGGGAACTTTTCGGTGAGAACATTGTCATAGGCAGACTGCAGTCTGTCAACTGCCAACTGCTTGCCAGCAAGACAGACAGACTATGGGGGCAGAGGGGAGGGGAGGGAGGGCTAACTGTCAGGATGTGGCCAACCCATTGGGGGATGGGCTAGATGGAGAGAAAGACACAGAAGAACTGATTATAGATTGGTTTAAGGCAGATGGAAACAGTGGTGTTGGGGGCCCAAGAGTCTGTGTGTCCCTTCTGTAATCACAGTGGTTGCAGACATTGTGAGAGCTGCCTTGGCACAGAGCCCGGGTCTTTTACTTCCTGCTCCTAATTGACCCCTGACCTGGAGATATCTGTCTTTAGGCCTGGAGTGGTGTGTCTAAGGGATTGGCGGAAAGTCTGCGGCCAGACTACAGTGAACGGCTCTGCCACGTCAGTGAAATTCCCCCAAAAGGAGGGGCTCTAGGGGAGGGGTCTGGGGGCTCCCCCTGCAGCCAGCATAGCCCCTACTGGGCTCCCCCATGTTACACCCTGAAACTTGAAACCTGAGCCCTTATACCCTGACAGAACCCCAGGGTCCTGTAGCCCTAAATTGTACTAACATCCCTTAGTCTAACCAGGCTGGGTCCGATCCTTACCTCACTCCCCTGATTTTGAATTTTGTGCCCCCAATAACAGCTCCCTTATTCAATATCTCCTACTTGAGGATTTTGCCCTGGTACATGTTTCATCTCCTCCAATCCAGCCCTCCCTCTTTGCTGGATTCTTTCCCCACTGTCCCGCCGTCCCTCCGTCCCTCCCTCCCTCTTTCCGTCTACCCTTCAATTGTTCCTGAATCAATGAGAAATAAAGTTTCTGCTGATGATCATCAAGAATGTCTGTTGTTGGGGTGGGGAGCAAGGGAAATGTGGGGTGCTATGAGGATGGGAGACATGCTGCCCATGGTAGGAAAAAGGAGTAGTAGACTGATGCTGTGGAAGCAGTTGTACCACAAATTAACTAGAAAAGAGTACTGTTCCAGAAACTTGTTTTTCTCTAAGTGTCCTGCTCTCCTTCCAGAGTCCAGTTTAGAGTTAGATTTCCCGTGTTTCCCCCATTCCCAACAAATCTTTTACAGACCCCACCCAAGTTCTTCTCTCCTTATCCTTCCTCCACCTTCTGCCGCACATACCACTTCTGACCTCATAATCCCTCAACTGCAGCCTCAGGCCCCACCCCTAGGGATGCTGGTTATCCACAACTGCCAAAAGCTCTCTCCTGTCTGCCTAGTCTGGGCCTCCTCGGCTTATGTAATCCATCTGCTTCTACACCATGGGCCTGCTTGGCCCCTCCAGGCCTCTAGAACACCCTCTCCCTGTATGACTCATCAGGGGCTCTCTCTGAAGAGTGAGAAGATCTTCAGAGCATGTTCATCTTCATCAAACATGGAGGTGAGGGACATCACAGAGCCAGAGTCTAAGTGTAGTGCTGGGGAGGTTTGAGGGCAGTGGAGATCATAGGGATGGTATAAGTAGAGAAGTGCCACATGCCCCATCCCATCTCTTCTCAGATAATCAGCAGTTTCTGGTCAACACCAATTGCTCTGTCCTCCTGTTGTTGCATTACATCCGAAATAAAATGAAATTGTCTAAAAAAGGTGAGGAGTTTGGGGTGGGGACTAATGGCCAAGGGTCAGAAGTAGTAGGGTCATCTCTAGCCCCCAAACCCTTCTGGTAGCAAGAAGAGAGCTCCTTGAATCCTGACAGCTTCCTCCAACCCATTCGGGATAGGATCACTGGCCCCTTTTGCTCCCGCTCTCCTTCCTTGGCTGCTCCAATTACCCTGTGGCCTCTCTCTAGATACCATCGATCTGTGTGATGAAGAGGGGACAATGAAGTTCTTCTTCCTGTTGAAGACCCCTGGAGACTATGCCAGCAAATTCCTTACAGTTCGAAACACCTACTATGTTTGTAGGGTGGTGCGTGGGCCACCAGGTAGAGGCTTGGGATCATTCCCAAGAGATAGAGCAAGGCCCTCAAGATGGATTGTGAACCTTGTCCTTAAAATAGGGCATCTCTAGTCAGCCTAAGAAAAGGCACTGCCTCTATGCCAATAGGTTAGGTTCACACATACGATGCCCCCCACCTGATCCTAGGGATGGACCTGAGGGGAGGAAATAAGGTATACCAGCTCAAGGTAGTGTTGAGTGTTAAGGTCCTGAAATCTTGGGCTTTGGAAGGGTGGAAACGGGGTGACACGGGCTGGGGATAGCACACTGCTGTGTTCACAGGAACCCGACTTGGGAATGCCTACAAAGCTTTTGTGCCCCTCCTGAAGAATCCAGAACCTGAGCTAATTGGTAAGGAGCATGATGGAGGAAGAAGGAACACGGAGAGTACTGTACGTAGCTGGGTGATGGGAGATATAGGGTGAGACTGGTATAATACAGCAGGTAGGATCACAGGATCCTAGGAAAAGGGGACTAGGGTCTGGGTCTACTTTAGGAGGGAGTTTAGCTCAAATCATGTGGAATGTGCGTGCGTCACTATCTCTTCGCCCTCATTTCTCAGCCATCTTCTCAGTATATCTCCCTATCACCACCCCACCGTTTCCATATTTCCCTTCATCTTTTTCTCTAGGAGTCTTGGTGTCCCAATTCCTACTAAAAAGGGGAAAGCTTAGGCACCTTCAGATCACTCCTCAGCCTAGCTTTAGGCCTTGTTACTCCAAGTGATCCTTTGAACGATGGGAGGGACGGGATGGGTAGGTAAGCTCTCTAGTCCTCAGAGGTGGGGGTGCCTTTTCCTCATTCCTAGGGGCCTTGCGCACACAATGTGATGAGCTGGAGAGGAGCCGAATAAAAATGCTTAAAAGCCAAGAAGCCAAGAAAGTCGTTATAATTGAACCCTCTGCGAAAGCCTCAGTAAGACTCCCCAAATGTGTTCTGTCCCAGCACCCCCCTTTCCCCACCAGCCAACTGAAGGCTCCTCTACCCCTGCCCTCTGGGATGAATTTCCTTTCCAAATCTAACATGCGTGCCCAAGACCTGCCTCTCACTTCTTTTGTCCTACCTTTGGCCCTAGTTGAAGAAAGCTTCCCTGCAGGGGCCTCTTTAACTACTTACTGATCCTTTCCTTTTCCAGTCCAAATCATCAAGACGATCACATAACCAGAAGTCCACTCGCAAGGGTCAGTTCTCTAAGACCAGAGCAGACGTTCTCAGTAGGAAGACTAAACGTCGCTAACCAAATAAACAGACCAAGTGAGAGCAGCAATACTAGGTATGAAATGACTGGTATTTAATGTGAGGTTCCTTTTTCAAGAAAGACTCCTTCCTCTCAATATCTGCACCAAGGCCTAAGTATGCTCCAGGCACTGTGGAGGCTCTGAGGGCGGGTAGGAGCAGCAGGAGAGGGCTGGGGTGGGCACACAGGTGGGAATGAGGAAAGACTGGGAAGTCTAGTACAATGAACCTTTGAGGGACAGAGTAGGAGGTGGGGTCTTCTCCAACCAGACTACCTCCCCTTGGGAGGCCTATCACAGCCCTCCTGCTCCTGCTGGGGTTAGGTGACCATGGGCACCTTCCCTCCCCCCACCACACTCCACCACCCCCACCTGCCTGCCAAAATCCAGACCCCTCACATCTCTGCCTCTGGGCAGTCCCTCTGGTCAGCCATTTGTCTTTCCCCTCCCTCCCCCTTATCCGAGGGGAGCAGCAAGACAGCAGAAACAAGGGCTGGTTATAGGCATTTATTGAATTTATTCATTTATTGATTTGACACACTTCCCCACTCCAATCTAGCACATGATACAATCTGGGTAGGCCAGGCGCTGACACAGGAAATGATGGGAACCCACAGCAGGGGCGGGGGAGGGGACAATGCAAAGGGGACTGGGGGAGGGGCTGCTTTGGGGGCTAGGGTGGAGAAGGAGCCCCAGATGGCCTCCCTGGCAGGTGCTAGTAAACCTGATCCACATTCCCCTCCATCCCTGCTCATTTCCCAGACCCTCAGCCAAGCTCTCCTGCTCCCCCTTCCCTGTCTTGCCCCTCCCCCTGTCTGCCGCCACACACACTTCCACATAACCCCTGTAGTCAGGCAAGGGGAAGAAGGGCAGGGACAGCTGTCAGGGGCCTTGAACAGGGAGGTCTCTGTGCCTAACTTTACCACCCTAAATCCTTCCCTCCTTCTCTTCTCTCCCCTCCCATCCCCTTCCCAGGCCACAAACTAATTCCAGGTCTTCAATGCACTCTCCCACCATAGCACTAACTCACAGTGGGTCATGCAAGAGTGTGGCTGCACCCCAATACCACACACTGCCAGGCACAAGGTGACAGAATGAGGGGACCTGGCTTAGCTTTCTCCTTAGGGAAACTCCAAGCTACTTCCACCAGACCTTGTTCTGACCTGGTCCACTTGGGGGCTCTTCCCCTTGCTCAGTACGCCTCCCCACTGCTGCTCTCTGTCAGCCTGGAGTTCCCTCCCCGACTTCTCCATGTTTCCCCAAGTAATGTCTGTAGTGTTTGTATCCTGTCACTATGACAAAGCCTTCAGAAAGAAAAAAGCATTCTCCCCATCACTAGCACCTTGCCACTGTTAAAAATCTCTATATTTGTGTTTATATTTCTTTAAAAGTTTATAAAAAGACTTTCTGTTATCTGCAGCCTTCCAAGGATGATTTGGCCTGGTGAGCCACTCCAGTGCTCAGACCTTGGCCCTTCCAGGTCTCCACTAGCCCCCCCCCCCCCCCCACTGGCCTAAGGGGCCACTGCATAAAAATCCCAGGCTCAGTCTAGCCTGGACCAGCTCAGATAAGACTCTACAAAAAATCCTGCTCCCAAAGGCAGGGGTAAGGCCACTGGTGACTTCACATTTCCAACAGCACTGCTCGCCCCTGCTACAAAACCTAGGGGGTGGGAATGAGGGGAGGCGAGGATGGCTCCCGGGAGGGGGCCTTACCCCCTAATTGGCACAGTGAGAATAAACCCTCTCCCTTTCCCCCTCCCCTCTCCCTCCTCCCATAGTTCCCATATGGGGCAGCTTTATCTTTATAATTTCCTTAACACCCGTGTGAGTAGACCCCACCCTAGCTCTAAAGTAGGGTCCCAAATTCCCGGGGATGGGTCAAGGGTAAAGAGTGGATATGGGCATGCCTGGCTCCACCTCTGAAGCAGGGGACAAAGCTTCCAGCCATGGCTCAGGGATCTGTGGGGAGAAAAAAATGGAGGACAAGGTAAGAGGTTGATCTGGGGCATGACAACTTTCCATCATCAAGGTCCATACCAAGGAAAACAGAGAGAGCCCCTCCCCCCACCTCTCCTGTGTTGCCCTGTAGGGGTGGGCACTGCTGGAGGGCCTGGAGGTCTCATCTGGAAACCATGCCACTCTAATATGACATCCTCCCTCCAATATCCCAGGATCTCCAGCCACCCCTTGTTCAAATCTCCCGCTTGATCAGATCATGGGACTAGCTGGGCACTGAGGAGTGGGTATAGGTTGTGAGATGCTACCATGATTAGGGGGTGCCGTACCTGGCTCGAAGTTGAAGTCCAGTCCCTCGCCCCCATCCATGAGGTCACTGATGATGTTATCCATGTCACACTCCAGGTTCTCCATATACATATCAAGATCTAGATCCTGAGGCATTCTGTCTTGGCTTGCAGCTTCAGTAGGGGGTGTGAGCACAGGAGTCGCCAGGCCCTTGGGGATGGGAGCACCCACCATGACTGGTGGTGGTGCCATCATCGAAAGGGTAGGAACCAGACTGCTGGGGCCTGGAGCCTCTAGGGGCTTAGGACATAGGCCGACTCCTGTGGCTAGCTTGCTGGAGGAAGGTATTCCCCCCAGCAACAGAAGTGTTGGAGCCTGAGACAGAATGGGATCTACTTGGGTCATGAGGACATCAGCAGGGGGTGGTGGCGTATCAGAAGTGAGCAGGGCCTCCAGAGACTGGGAGCTTGAGAAGCACCCTTCTCCTGCTGACAGGGGCCCCTCTGCTGGGCTGAAGAGGGAGGTGCTGTAGGTGTGTAAGGGGCCCGTAACCCCAGGATGCTGCAAAGAGAAGCCAGAGAGACTACTCCGAGATAGCAGGGAATGGGAAGATGTGAGGTTGAGCCCATCTAACAGCTCTAGATCTTCGTTTAGGGTGGGAGGCACACCCCCTGCATAGCTGCTGACTGAGGCTGGTATTTCCTCCTCCGTCAGCACCTCAGACTCTGGCCTCCTGGGGGAGAGCCGGGTGCTGACAGTGCTAGCATTTGAACTGCTTCGTGGACGGAAGGTGGTCCACACATCAGCTTCCTCGCGGTTTCGAGAGCAAGGGCTGCCTGACCACTTGGCAAAGTGGCCAACAGGGCTCGTCGGAGTGGCACCTTCAGGTGGGGCTGGCATCACAGCTGATTTCTTCTTGGGGGTCTTGCTGCGGCCCCGGAGTAGCTTGCTGCTGCTATCCATGGAGGCTGCTCGGCGGCGGGGCGCCTTGCCACTCTTGCCTCCCTCGGGGTTCAGCATCCACCAAGAGCTCTTGCCAGTAGCCTCGTTGTGAACCTTGATGAACTTGCTGTGCAGGGACAGGTTGTGGCGGATGGAGTTCTGGAGAGGGCAGAGGCAGCAGGAAAGGGGCATGAGGTGTGTGTAGGGGAGGTCAGCAGCCGGCAGTCCAGTCTAAAAGGATGCTGGGACATGGCAGGGGCATTCCTGGAGACTCAAAGCTAGTCAAATCCAGGGCGAAAACAGGCCAAGGTAGGGGCGGGGGTTGGGAGTGGAGGAGGAGACCATACAGAGTTCCCACCCGAAGACAAGCTGCTCGGCCTCTGCTCCAGACTCCTTTGCACAGGGGCCCAGGAGACAACCTGAGTAATAACCTATTGCAGAGGACACTGCGCCCACCCTGGAAAAGCTCACAACACTGTACTTCTCCCAAGTCTTTGGGGGGCTGTCTGGGGCTCATGGGCATTGGGGAGATGCACTCCTGGTACATCAGGAACTAGACTCAGGTGGGAAAGAGCATGCCACAGCTCCCCTTTCCTTGAGTACAGGCTTGGATGGAGTTTACAGGGCAGTGGCATAACACCAGCCCAGGACTGACCTACCCTGTCCTGGGCCAGTTCTCTGAACAGACTGAGCGGCTGGAACCTCAGCATGGCTGGTGCTCCACTCCCCACAGGACATCTGGGCCCCAGCTCTCTACAGGATTTGAACATTCCTTTTTTCTGATTTCTCCCAGTTTGTGGACACACAGCCTCAAGTACGTTCAGGCCAGGCTTCTCACTGTGCCTCAAATACACAAGGCACATTCCTCCTTCCCTCCTGGTCCTGGGAAGGATCTCCCCTCCCTAAATTCTCCTAGTTTGTCAAGACCAAGCTTAAGGCCCCTCTCTTTTATAAAGTGGTTGCTTGACTTCTGCAGCCAAATTTCTTGTATAGTATTTTTATTTTTGAGGAAGACTAGCCCTGAGCTAACATCTGCCAATCCTCCTCTTTTTGCTGAGGAAGACTGGCCCTGAGCTAACATCCATGCTCATCTTCCTCTGCTTTATACGTGGGACGCCTGCCACAGCATGGCTTGCCAAGCGGTGTCATGTCCGCACCTGGGATCCAAACCGGTGAACCCCGGGCTGCCAAAGCGGAACGTGCGCACTTAACCGCTGTGCCACCGGGCCGGGCCCAACTTGTACAGTATTTTTTAACTGTTCCACACGATTTTACCCAATCTACATTGTATTGTTTACAGTGTCATATAATTAGTGTCAAAGTATAAGCGCCCAGGTCACGGATCACGTTGTCCAGCCAGGCAGCCCCCAGCAGTGCCCCCTCAGAGTGTCAAGCTCCCAGTACATAATCAATATTTGTTGCCCGATTGGTGGGTGGCCCCTGGGTGACGGTGGTGAGGCTCTCCTTGAGGCTCTGTCAGCTCTTGAGGCCTTGGGTATTAGAAGCTATGTGTCCTCCCTTCCTCCCTCCCTGCTGGCTGCTGATATTCTGCTAGAGATAAGTTTTTTTTTTTCCCCAGGGGCCCAGGGAGCAGAGATTGGCAGCTTCTTGAGCCCCCAGAGCGGCTTATTTCTACTGGTTGCTCCAGGCTAGTCACACCATCCTTTCGTGTGCCCCCTCCCCAACCTCCTTTCTCTTTTCTACCTCCTTTCCCCCACTTCTCAGGAATTTGTGCAAAAGATCTCCAACCTTAGGGGCATTTGACCTCCCACATGGAGCTCTTTAGTGTTTAAAACTCCAGAGGAGCCCAGAAAGGCTTGGAGCAACTAGGAAGCTGAGG